TATTAACCAATCAGATTTTGTAAAATCACGAAATGATCTACAAAAATTATCCAATCAGAATAAAAGCCCGCTATGCTTATAGTACCTAAACTCGACTTAATAAAAATTGCTGATCAAGAAGGTCTCTTTTAAAAAATAAAAATAAAAAAAATAAACATGTTCAACATAGTAGCTTATGTATAATTGCAGATTATTTTTAGTATATATCTTTTTTTTTGTAAAATTTTATAAGCAAAATATACAAAATTTACAAAAATTTTAAAAAGTTGTTCTTATTTTACTATTTTCAATATATAGAGGTGAGTCAATAAAAAAGAGACAAATTTTTTATAAATAAAAGTTTTCTTGACTTTAAGCTTAAATATCTTAGCAATTATTTTAATTCTATATAATTTCAGAATTAAAATAAAAATTTTTTTAGCAAATTTGATTAAATAGTTGTTGAGATATTTTAATTTAAAAATTAAAAAAATTTTACTAAAAATGATTTGTCTTTTCTATTGATTCACCCTCCATATTTAAGTTCAAAATTTGAAAATAAGCTAATATGTAGGTTTAAAAGAATCTTTAGCTTAAGTTTATAGTAAATTTACATGTTTTTATTATAATTTTTATTATAAACTTACACTCATATATAAACATATGTGACATCTTCCCTGATGTGTGCATCGATTCGCAATTAGTGATGATCATTAGTGACCCTGCCTATAGGCCCTAATTAAACATGCAAGCCAATCCAATTATTATAGATTCATTTAATCGATTTAAATTGTTTAATTTAAATCTAAATCAATTTTTATTTAACCGATTATCAACCACAAGCGATAAATCGTTTGAAACTAATCGATTAACAGATTGGAATCAAAAATTTCCAATGATCAAATTATTGAAAAAGAATGAAGAATTAAAATATTTGTATCTCGATGCTATCAGATATTCACAAAACTTTACAACTATCTTCACCAAGTTCAATAACTAAGATCAATTCGTGTTTGATGTTTTTGATCATGATACAGATTCACTGAATGTGGCTGTGTTGGATGCAGCAATGAGAATTATTAAAGACCAAGCATAATTTTAAGCTAAACCGACAGAATGGAAAAGTCAGATGGCAATCTGAGATTCCTAATCGTTTATCTAATGCTGAAATGCTCGTTATGTAGAAAATTATACAGTCAGACCTCTCTAAATGCAACCCCCAAGTGAGATACCTCTTTAAATGCAACCTTTAACTCTGACCAAAATATATACCAGACCCCATAAATGCAATTTCTTATCGTTCTCTAAATGCAAGATGTCAAAAGTCTGGTCCCTACGAGTTACATTTAAGGAGGTTCGACTGTATATATTGCGGAATATATGTACTGATCCAATCAGGTTTGGATGCATCATAGCCAATTTATTATATAAAGTTGATATATTCAGTCTAAATAAATAAGAGTTATTTTGATCTGAGCCTCTTAGTTCGTCATAAGCAAAGCTCGATATAAACAAATCGTCTGTAAATATTAGAAATCACCGACATCGTCATCCTCATCAATTTCACCTTCTGCGATTTCTTTTGCAAGTTCTCTTTCTCTTTCACGCAGAGCTTCGGCCGAAGCCAATTCTTTTCGATGGGCATTAAGAGGAAACCTCATTGCCTTTATTGTAAAAAGGTTAAATGAATGACTATGGAAGTAAGAATTTTCATAACCAACCAATAAAAACTTGACAAACCTTGACTGATTCATTATGGAGATTTAAACAGAAGCTAACACGTTGATGGAAAGCAAATTGAGGTTCATTTGTTGAGTAAATATCAGCGTTTTCCTGAAAGTTATAAAATTTATTAATTATAACTGAGGGTATTTAAAAGTAACATCAAAATCATTTATCAATAGCAAATATTATTACCTTTGATTTCATAAAACCCTTTTCATGATCTATAGTAGCATCAATCACACCATCACGAATAGCCTAAAAATGGTGGTACCCAATAATAATTATACGAGAGTTTTACCTTACATATACAAGAAAAATATATTATGACAAACCTTGGCGACAATATACTCAGCGTCCTCCTCGCTATCGAGATGCAATTTCAAGCAGATATCTCGCAAAGAAATTCTAGAATATGATAAACTTATCATCCTAATACCTGTTTTGATTACATTATGTCGAAGTCTTACAGTATAAAAATAAAGTTAATATTATTTAATTTAGTTTCACGTAACGTTTCAATCTTTCTATGTAAGGCCAGACCAATCTAATTCTCTATTTAACGTAATTATCACCCCTATAGAAAACCATTACATAATATTAAATAACTCTCCTCTACCTTCTCAATCAATATGAACCTTTTTATTATATAAGCTTTTTTAACACTCAACCCTCTCTTACAAGTTATCTCAAACAGAAAATCAAGTTGGTCTGGCCTAGTTAAAATGTCCAATACAGTGTCACTTTATGACACATGTAAACCTAAATTTACCTTATAATCAGAGTGAATGTTTTATCAGCACGAAAGACTTCTCCATATTTAGCCAATGTCTCTTGAAATTTCGACAAGTCGCCAATTCGCACAGCTGAAAAAAATATCAACGTAAATTGACATGTATGCTTATGATCCTTAAGAGTAATAAAATGTAAATTTACCCTGAACAATGTGCAAATATGGAACCAATGGTTTTTTTAAAACCGGTTGCCTGAATATAGATCTTTCAGGGATTTCACCCATTAAAAGTTGAACAATGATCGAAAGTTTATAGACCTAATGATATTCAATTCAGCTAAATTCTGTTTTTTTTTTTTGAAGTATATAATCCGTAATATTTTGAAAATTATTTAATTTACCGCTTGTTGAAAGCCAGCTGTCACAGTATTTTGAGGTGCTTTACGAATGGCCTGCAATAAATGAGTATGTGATACCGTATAATCGAGCTGAATAGCCTTGATACGACCTAAATAAAAATGAGATTAATAAGTGTGTTCTTGACATGTAACGACTTAAGAGAAAGAAAAATCACCTAAGTAGTACATATATCTAGCTTGCTGGTTGTTTCCAGCGGTTTCAGGAAAAGTGGTTTTACTGACAAGCTTGTCGGCTTGATCGTACAAATTATAATGAAAATAATTTCTCAATAGCAAATTGAGCAACGTGGCCTACATGCGCATAGAAATTTAATTGAAAAGTTTTAAAAGGAACATGATTCTAAACATTAAAATACCTGAGAATCATCATCGTGACGCAAAGTTGCAGTTCTTTGGGCCGCCAACAAAGTACTAATTAAAAATTCATTGCAATTTAGCCAAATTATAAAAACGGGTTATATAAAAACGGTTTAACTGAAGACGTGAAAAAAAACATACGGTCTAATTACAGCCAAATTTCCTGTCAGCTCATAGAATCGAGCATAATAAAAATAAGTACGAGCAGACAACTGATCTAACGTACGACGGTTTAAACTTTGAATTTTAGCGATCGTTTCATTAGAAAGTTGAATACCCTAATGTTAAAGAATCTTAGCCTTAGTTAATGTGTTACAACCAAAATAGAAAAAGATTAAATAAGTTACCTTTTCAAATTCTTGTTTATCCAACAAATATATCATCAACAACAGATGGAGATAGAGATCAATCTCGGGTAAGATTGGTGGATTATCTTTTCCGGAATCGTCTGCGTCAACATCCATGACAGCAGTATCCTATTATGTTATAAGTGAAGAAAATAAATGAAATAACTCATCATGATTGGTCTATTCAAAAAATTAGAAAGATTATGGCACCTTTCCCAAATAATTTAACAATTTGCCTTTATCTGTAGAATCTATTTGTCAAAGTTCAAAGATCATGGTTATCAGCATTCCTGGTTAACAGTTTGTTAATAATTTCGTGAAATCCGGTGAGTATGCCATTTCATTGATGATCTTTGTAGTAGTGTGGCAACGTTCCTCATGATCAAGAATCGGTTGTGGCACAAACACGCAAATTAAACATTATTTGCTGACCTTTTGGATAAATATCTCTAATTGCTTGAGCTAAGAGATCTGCAGTCAAACGTTTCCTAATGGACGCAGTAGTTCTTAGAACACGTGTTGTGAATCGTGACTCGATGGTAGATACGGCACGTTCCAGAAGGGTGAAATTTTGTCTGAGTTCTGTATAGCAACGTTAAAATAATATTAAGAATAGACACATAAAGCTTTGAAAATATTCAAGTACGTCTCCAAAAGCTTGAGCGAAACAGACCAGATAACACTAAAGCGTCAGATTCTAAAGCCTTCTTTTCAGTATCATCGACTTCGTCAGCCTGTCCCATTTCAACGTCTTGATTCTCGACAGTCATGGTTACCTCGTTAGTCGTTTCTGCTTGCTTGTTTTTGCTTTCTTCTTGCTTCTTTGCTGAAGCTCTTGTTACGCGCTTATTTGGAGAAGGTTGTTCTGAGTCGTTAGGGGACTTCTTGTGGCGGCTTGATCTACGTGGTGGTTGGTTATTGTTATTTTTATTGACCATTATGCGTCAGAGAACAAATTAAGTTACGAATGAAAAAAGGACGTACTTATCGAGAATTTGGATACACGTAAGCATAACGTACGTAAGCATCAATAACGATAACAGTCGATCGACATGTCACACGTAAAAAAAAAAATTTAAAAAAATCTATCATATGATTTAAGTCTCAGCCATGAAGAACGACGTCTTTATAGTAAAATAATCTGGCATGCCACTTACTCAATTGGTGTCGGGACGACATCCTGACAGTATTTTATATTTTATGAGGGTGAGTCAGTAGAAATACACCATATTTTTTTTTAATGAATCTTCAAACAAAAATAACTCAGCAAAAACTTAACCAAATTTAGTAAAAATTTTTTTAAATAAATTCTATGTGCAAGTTTTTTTAATTGGTTTAAAAGTTGTTGTTGAGTTATTGTTTAAAATTTCAAAAAAATTTACTTAGAAAAAATATGGTGCGTTTCTACTGACTCACCTCCGTATTGTCTAATATCAGTAGTAATTTTTTATTTTGTAGGTTTGGTTCTTTTTCTACATCTAAATCATATAGATTATACAGTATATTACTGTATAGGTCTTTATTATATAATAAAAAGCAAGTATATATTATGTTTAAAAGCCAACTTTAAAAATCAATTTTATTTATCTGACATCTTCGTACTGTAAATGATTTTTTTTTTTTTTATTAAAAAAAAAAAAAACAGTTTTTTGATAATATTATGGTTGCTTGAGATCAATCTATTTACTGAAAATCTGCCAGATTATTCAAATATTTCCACTCCCATTTTTGCTAATGCCACCTCCCAGATATCAAAAGGTGCTTCAAAATAGATATTTTTATTAAGTAAACCCTCTTTTGATCTTAATAAAAGTTGTTCATCAGGCCTTTCTGGTTCTAATGGTAGTAAAATCATTAACAGTAAATGTAAGTTAACTAACTTCGGATATATATATCTTAAGAACTACTGGTCTGAGTATAATGATTTTACTATTATTAGAACCAGAAAGGCCTGATGAAAGAGGGTTTACTTAATAAAAATATCTATTTTGAAGCACTTTTTGATATCTGGGAGGTGGCATTAGCAAAAATGGGGGGTGGAAATAGCAATTAAAACAATTGGGGCTTCACTTTAGAGCAACAAAGAGATACATTATATTTAATACACAAAAGAAAAATCACACTACTTTTTTATCTTTATCATTAAATAATAATGTTGTTTTTCATTCTATCAAATAATTCTCTTGTGTAATTTAGGGTTAGGGTTAGGGTTAGAGGTTAGTTTTAGGAAGAGTTTATAATAAACAAGCATAAGTGGATTTTGGAGGTTAAAATAACTTACAGGTAGATTAAAATTAAATTATTTGGTTATAAATAGTTTTTTGTTTATCTATATTACACACTCAAGATTGCAAAAATTGTGAATTTTTATATAAATAACTACTTAAAACATTAAAGTCAAATATGGCCACTTTTAGAATTATTTTATCTTGTTTTAATTTTTATAATTATTTATATTAATTATTGTTTCTCGATGATTATTACAGTATGCTTGTCTTTTAATGAAATGAAAGAATTAATTCAAAACCCATTTTTTTTTAGATGTTCGTTAAACCTTAACCATTGCCGCAGCAAAATGATGTGTGCAATGCTAAACATAATTTAAAAGATTATATAAAGTCTGAAGCTTTGCTTTACCGTTTACTGTTACTATTCTTGTTGTAATAATGAGCAGTGGTCAACTCTGTCGAGGACAAGACTGCACAAATCCCTCAAAGCTACAGTGTCCTACCTGCTTGAAATTAAACATTAGTTCTTACTTTTGTTCACAAGAATGTTTCAAAAAGAATTGGGTAAACTCTTCATTAAGACTTCTATTAATGAATGAAAATTGTAGTTTTCCTAAGCATATAACGTGTACTTTACATTTACAGTCCACGCATAAACTTCTTCACAAAACAAATACGCCCACTACGGGTAAGAATTCTATGCTTGGAGTAAATTCTTTGTTTCTTACTTATAGCTCGTTATATCAATGTTTATCATAGGGATTGAAACATATATTCCTAATTTCTCGTATACTGGTTCATTGCGTGCTGTCTATCCTTTATCACCTCGAAGGTCAGTTCCGCCACATATCAAGAGGCCTGAT